TGTTAAAGTTAAAGTGTACTTAAATGCTGAGCTTATTATAGTAAATACATTATAGTAAATACATTATAGTAAATGCATTATAGTAAATACATTATTGTAAATACATTATAGTAAATACATTACAATAAATCATTAGTATAACCTTACATTACTGATATGTATAGTAAACCTCATAGTGTATTAAGTATTTTATTTCATTTTATAACCGTCGTTGAGCAGCCGACCTAAATTTGCGTTTACGACTACTAATGTTCAACTCCATAGCTTTGTAATTTTGAACCCAATCCAGAAGACAAGGGAACTCCTGGATCAAGTATAGTTAGAAATTTGCCTTCGTGTAAGACTTTTTGATGGATCTAACACCATTTACATTATATGGAGAGAAAACCACGAAAACTTCCCACGTTCAGCCTGACGGTAAAGGGATTCTAACTCAGCGTCCGTCTACCACCTTCTATCATGATGCTCTATCTTCTGAGCCATAGCGGCTCAATATTAAGTATGGTAAATATTTATAGTAAATATGATTTTTCTTTTTTTTTTCAGATTATCCTCAGTTTTCTTTTGATAGCAGTTACTGCAGCTGATCATCATCATGATCATCATGAGGTGACGATTTTTTCTATTAGATTTGTTATAATAAATTCAAGCTCTTATTTAAAATTAAGAACTTCTGAATATATTGAAGAATTTTAATGCGTCATATTTTAAAATTCATAAGCTTCTTCTCTAAACGGAAATATATCGGAAAAGCTGCTAGATAAACTTTTTTTACTCTTAATATTATGCATAACGTTTCCATTTATACCTTTGTGTCTATTACGGTGGAATCTCATAAATAGAATTTCGACCCATTTCCAACTAACTAGAGCATTTAAATGTCCACTGGAGCTCTGGTGACGTTGTAAATTTCATGTCATAACAAGTTAAGCACAATTCCTCTCCCAAAGGAATTTATTGCCACTCCAAATCCATTTTTGTCTCAGCTAAAGTGATCAAACTAGATTGACAAACTATAATTTATGTTTTTACTTTTTCATCAAATATTATTTCTCGTTAACAGAAATTTGGCCCGCTCTGACTGACTATCCCAGAAAGCATGTAACCTTACGACAATCATGCGTCGGAATTTTTTTCCTATTGTCACGAAAATGTTTGTACTAAAAACATTTATACAATGAAGCAGAAATGTCGCTGTTTCAAACCTTTCTTCCTAAAAGGATTAAAAATTACTTTTTAAAAAGTATTGTCACTTAGGTAAAATGGTGTGACGTTTTAGCTGACGTCACACTAACGATAGGATCAAATTGCATCATCCTTTAAAATTTCATGACAAGGTGGATTTTAGCTGAGCAAACAAGACTTTGCAAAAAGAAACCTTATAATTACCTGGATTTACGATTATTTTCACCTTGAGACTAGCTTTATTAAAGGATTTTTTCGCGCTTCTATTTTAGCTGAGCAAAAAGAAACCTTATAATTATCTAGATTTAAGATTATTTTCACCTTGAGACTAGCTTTATTAAAGGATTTTTTCGTGCTTCTATTTTAGTTGAGCAAAAAGAAACCTTATAATTATCTAGATTTAAGATTATTTTCACCTTGAGACTAGCTTTATTAAAGGATTTTTTCACGCTTCCATTTTAGCTGAGCAAAAAGAAACCTTATAATTATCTAGATTTAAGATTATTTTCACCTTGAGACTAGCTTTATTAAAGGATTTTTTCACGCTTCTATTTTAGCTGAGCAAAAAGAAACCTTATAATTATCTAGATTTAAGATTATTTTCA